TAAAGTGCCCGTGCTCTGGTTTCCCTTCCTTAGAATGGGTGTAATTACAGGACTTCTCTCAAAGAGTTATTGGAAGGATTAAATGCATCACCCAGGTCAAGGGCGTAAGACAGTATCTGGAACACAGTAAAGCCTGCGTGACCGTGTTAGTGATGATCATTCACTCGTACACAGTATATCTGGAGAAACTCATTTCTGTAATATTCAAAGTATATACAATGACTCAGACTTACCTCTCAATTAGAAGGGTTTGACTGGCCTGCTCTAAGGGCTGGATACCATATACCTCCGTTCAGCACCATCTCTAGCCTGCCAGCTATTGTCGAAGGCCTGCACTTAGCCCAGTTTAAGGATTTTTACCTCTACTTTGAAGTTTTCTGTGTACAAACAGTTCTTCACTGACTTTGTCCCTTTCTTCTTTTTAGGTGGGATGGATAATGCTAGTTACTATGGGATCATCTCCTATTGAATCTGTAGTTGCTGCTGGCAATATATTTATTGGACAAGTAAGTTATAATGTCAAAAAAAAAAAAACTGCTGAAATGGATGGTCCTTCCAAAAAGTGAAATAAGAAAATATCATGGTGTTGTCATTTCTTTTGCTGTAGAGAGAAAGGTGTCAGAATAAGGAGCCCCAAGTATTGGCAATGTCCAGATTCCTGAGAGAGAGAGAGATCCCATCCAAGAATCTGAGTACACTAGTGTGGAACTGGGTTCTTGAAAGTTTATGAAGAGGAAGGAGGTTTGAGTCGTTTTAGTCATTTTATTAAACATAGAGTTCTCATATATAGATTCTCAACAAGTCTTTTCTGAGTCTATTGAATTATTGAGGTCTCTGGTCAAACCTTCCAAGGCTAGTAACTTTTCTAATTGAATGGAGTTCACGGTCTTGCAGCACAGACATGTGGCAGGCAGCCTCCCACTGTACACTATGATGCCTGCAGCAATGAAGGGAACCAGGAAAGGCTTTCCAGCAACAGCTGTGCTGCTCTGCACACATGTGAGCTCAGTCTTGTCTGAACGGGTCGACAGTCTGTCTTTGCTGAGCCTGAAAAAAATCTTTTTGGTTTTTTTCTTCTCATCAAAGATAAGCTTTTAGGCTGCAATTTTCGCCTGCCTGATCCATCCCATGGATAAATGCTCTTTTGCCTGAAGTGCATTTAAGCAAAGATGCCAAGGGGTGTCCCTCAAAATAGCAGCATTCCTGAGGGGTGGATAAGAAATGGTAATCAGCTACTCATCGCTCAGCATATGCAGCTTTGGACAGAAGGGAATCACACATCACGGAAACCAAGTGTGAGTGCTGGCCAGCACCACTACCCAAGGACACTGGACTTGAAGCAAAAAATCAAGTCACCCAGAAAAACACATGGCTCCAAAATCCAGGCGTAGAACTGCTCCAGGCGGGCAGAGTCTTCTTGTTGGTGATCCAGACTCACTAGCCTGGAACATCGTCTTTACAGCAGGGGCCCATGCTTCCTTCCCTAGGAGTTGAAATTATTATAATTACAGTCATAAAATCTCTCAGGACTAATTAGGGCACCATCTTGCATTGATTGCTTCTACCTGAGGGGTAAAAGGACTCATATACTGGGTTTCTAAGGCTCGACACAGTTATAGAACTATTCTATCTTATAGAACTATTAGAGTAATGAGGAGGAAATTGTAAAATCACACACAGGCTTCTGGGTCAGTTCAACTTGATACTTATTATGCTAAAAGTGCAGCTATTATTTATGGAGAGCCCCACACTGCAGGCTTCCCGTCCTCCTTAATGGAATTCAAGCCTTTACAACCACACTCTGTCCAGTTCCTTTCCACCCATCAGAGAGGGGTCTTTGATTCTCAATTACGAAAGGGCCTGTGGGTACCTGTCCTTGTTATTGACAGGGTTTTTTTGTTTTGTTTTGTTTTTTAACAGTTATATCTCTATTTCCCTGAGGTGTCAGGAAATAGGTTTAGGGTCTGTCAAGAAAGAGTTGGAAGATAGGAAATCACAGAGGTTTAAGAATCACCAGTCCACAAGTCCAGGCCACTGGTCAGAGTCACTTGGCCAATCCTTAGAAAAGCTCACCAAGTCACCAGATTCCAATCCGAGGCTAGGTGGAGGCCTTCTATGACTAGCCTCACAGATTTTGCAAAATGTACGCACAATCGCATATGCACACTGACCTAGAGTTCAAATGGTGCAAGTTCTCAAACTTGAGCCTGAGTCAGAGTGACCTGCAGGGCCTGCTCAGACACAGACTGCCAGCTCCATGCCCAGAGTTTCTGATTCCATAAGCCTGAGGATTTGCATTTCTAATGAGCTCCCAGGTGATGCTGATGGAGCTGGTCTGAGGTTCACTCTTTAAGATACTGCTTTGAAAAATGAAATTTTTAGTAGATTGGCATGCCCCCCTAAGATTTAAAAAGGAACATTTAATCCAATCACCCTTTTTTGTCACCAGACGGAGTCTCCACTGCTGGTCCGACCATATTTACCATACGTCACCAAGTCCGAACTCCATGCCATCATGACAGCTGGCTTCTCTACGATTGCTGGAAGTGTCTTAGGCGCGTACATTTCTTTTGGGGTAAGAATGTTTGGGAATTAGCTTATGAAAAATTCAACCTCTGCTTTCTTTGCTATCGCTTTTTTCCTTCTTTCCCATTGCTGATGGAAAAAGAGGTCAAGAGGGTATCCTTTTTGCTGTATGGCAAAAGTTGGTCACAGCTGCTTTGGCACTTGAACACTGTGACCCCAGGGAATTTTGTGGCTTCACTTTCACATCCCTGACACCTAAATGTGAGTTATATCCAACCACAG